ACAGACCATTTCCCACTAACAGGGGTGCTTACAATGGTCAGCCTTTATTCATTTATGTAAAACATTTATCCCAAAGGGGAAAAAAAAACTATTGCTGTAACTACATAAAAAGTGTTAGCTGGAGTTGGACTGTACATTGTTAGTCACTAATGTAAAGTCCTTCTCAGAGGCGTCCCTAGGGTTGGTGTCACCCGGTGCGGTAACACTTGGTGACACCCCCTCCGAGGATCCCCGCAGAATGGATCGGATATGCGGATTGAGCATAATGGATCGGATTCCGATCCATTATGCTCAATACGCAGATCGGATCCATCCTGCGAGGATCGTCGGCTTTCTTTACAACTTACCTTTTCTTGGAGCGGGTCCGGTGTCAACCCGTATAGGTTGCATGCTGACGATCCCCGCAGGATGGATCAGATCTGCGGATTTGCGGATTGAGCATAATGGATCGGAGTCCGATCCATTACGCTCCCCAATCCGCAGATCCAATCCATCCTGTGGGGATCGTCGGCATGCAACCTATATGGGGTGACACCGGACCCGCTCCAAGAAAAGGTAAGTTGTAAAGCAAGCCAACGATCCCGCAGGATGGTTCGGATCTGAGGATTGAGCATAATGGATCGGAGTCCGATCCATTATGCTCCCCAATCCGCAGATCCCATCCATCCTGCGGGGATCGTCGGCTTGCTTTACAATTTACCTTTTCGTGGAGCGGGTCAGGTGTCACCCAGTGCGGGCCGCACCCCCCGCACCTGCCTCGGGACGCCACTGGTCCTTCTAAATCTATTTGGCCATCCAACACCACCTTCTCCACTGACTGACAATGCTGCTGTCCAAGGGTGGCTATGATGCTCCTCCATAGATACAATGGAGGAGTGAATGTAGTCACCCCAAAAAAGGAGGTGTGTTACTGGCTGATCGCCAGAAAACTCATGCTTATGCAACCTCCGCATCCAATGATTGGTAAGCTACAACATATTACAGTTTTGTTTTTAGTTTTAGTCACACTTTAACTGCCTAAAACAGCCACTGAAAACAGCAAAAGTATGCACCAAAGTACATAAACGTTTATTAAATCTCATTTTCTTTGCAGGATTGAGATCTTTAATGCACTTACAATATCTGTTAAGCGTTTCCACAAAAAATATTTCCCATTAAAGTAGAACTTCCAGTCAATATATAAAAAGAGGTCACCCTCCAGTCCAGTCATTTAAAAAAAAAAAAATCATCAAATGTATTTTAAATACTGCTAGCATAATACTACACCTGAAATTTAAATTCATATTTTCTTTCTCTTCTCCTCCACGGGAGCAAAACCAGCCTGAGATGTGGATGTGAGCCAGACAGGTGACACAGAAAGCTGTAGGTCTGCAATAGGAAACAATGGTGTCACCTTATGCACGTGGCGGCGATGTCTGAAAGACGGTAACAGCTGAGCAGAATAGCAATAGTAATAGAATGTATTTATAATAATATTGTGGGTTGGTGCTGCGTTAAATATTCCCATCAATATCACCCGCAGGGAAGTTGTTCTTCCACAACTGGACAGGCTGGCTCCATTTGTGTTGGGTGATGTTGGTATCATTGAACGTAGAAAAAGGCCATCAGTGACCTCTAGTTTAAAACCATCAAAATGTCTGTTTTTAGTACATGAATGCTAACCTTCGTCTTGGTTCCCGGTAAACCTCTGCCCTTTACTCAGTATCAAATCCCTGAAATTACCTCCCAGGGAAATTTAAGCCATCTGATTCCATGAATCCTACAAGGGTTTCCATAATGATGCTTGTTCTTGCAGAATAATGCTTATCGATATACAGTTGTGTCCAAAATTATTCAACCCCCAATGCTGTAAAGGGGTTTAGGGACTATAGTGTACATTTGGAATTGTATTCAGAATCAAATCCTACAAGGACGTTGTAACTACCCAAATGCAACTAAAATGACATCAATTGTTTATGTAATACAGTAGTAAATGGTTCTTATGTGGTTTCTTCATTGCCACAATTATTCAACCCCTTAAAGACTACCACTCTGAAGAACAGAGGTTCATACAGGTGCTTTCCATCAGGTATTGAAAACACCTGTGGATGTCACCGAGCAGCAATCAAGCATAATAAGCACCAATTAGGCAGCTTTAAAATGACTGTGATACTCAGCTCCTTCTAGACATTTACTGGTGTGGTTACAAACATGGTGAAGGCAAGAGAATGGTCCAGGAAGACAAGAGAAGAGGTGATTTCTCTTCACAGGAAGGGCAATGGCTATAAGAAGATTGCAAAGATGTTAAACATACCAAGAGACACCTTAGGAAGCATCATTCGCAAATTCAAGGCAAAGGGCACTGTTGAAACGCTACCTGGTCGTGGCAGAAAGAAGATGCTGACTTCGACTGCTGTGCGCTACCTGAAGCGTAGAGTGGAGAGAAGTCCCCGTGTGACTGCTGAGGAACTGAGAAAAGATTTGTCAGATGTGGGTACAGAAGTTTCAGCCCAGACAATAAGACGCACACTGCGTAATGAAGGCCTCCGTGCCAGAACTCCCAGGCGTACCCCCTTGCTGTCTCCAAAGAATAAGAAGAGTCGACTGCAGTATGCCAAAAGCCATGTGGACAAACCACAAAAGTTGTGGGATAGTGTTCTGTGGACTGATGAAACAAAATTAGAACTGTTTGGGCCCATGGATCAACGCTATGTTTGGAGGAGGAAGAACAAGGCCTATGATGAAAAGAACACCTTGCCTACTGTGAAGCATGGTGGAGGGTCAATCATGCTTTGGGGCTGTTTTGCTTCTGCAGGTACAGGGAAGCTTCAGCGTGTGCAAGGTACCATGAATTCTCTTCAGTACCAGGAGATATTGGATGGAAACGTGATGCAGTCCGTCACACACCTGAGGCTTGGGAGACGTTGGACCTTTCAACAGGACAATGATCCCAAGCATACCTCCAAGTCCACTAGAGCATGGTTGCAGAGGAAAGGCTGGAACATTTTGGAGTGGCCATCGCAGTCACCAGACTTAAATCCGATTGAGAACCTCTGGTGGGACTTAAAGAAAGCAGTTTGCAGTGCGCAAGCCTAAGAATGTGACTGAACTGGAGGCCTTTGCCCATGAAGAATGGGCGAAGATACCCGTAGATCGCTGCAAGACACTTGTGTCAAGCTATGCTTCACGTTTAAAAGCTGTTATAACTGTAAAAGGATGCTGTACTAAGTACTAAGATTGAATGTCACTTGGGGGTTGAATAAAACTGATAATGCTGTGAGCACAGAAAAGACATTTGTGGTTATTTCATTATAACTGTTATGTTATATTTGTCTGACCTACAAGTGCCTCTTTAATGTAAATGTAAGCAAGATGACTGAATGATCAAAAGCAATGTCAAACTGGCCAAAACACTCAATTTCAGTGGGGGTTGAATAATTTTGGACACAACTGTATATTTAAAACCATAAAAAAATTATATTGTCCTGTCCATTGGGAATGTTTTTTTTTTAATTGTATTCGTGTCTGTCTCCAGAACAGTTTTTTTTACATGGAAGAACCCTTGAAATAACTTCAGGTCTCAGGGAACTTCTGCTAATGGTTACCACATTTCCAGCTCATCATGGTACATTATGTTGATAATGTAAGAATTCATACAAGAATAAGGAATGTGATGAACTTAGCATACTTGACAACCACTTTATATGACAAAATTATTTTCAGGAGCAACAATTAAATGAAATAAACCATAATATGACCAGGAAAGAAATATAGCCGGTAAAAATAATACTGTTTCACTGGTGGTCAGTGGGATGTTTCCCCTTTCATTGCTGGTCAATGGAAAAGTGCCCCATTACATTGCTGGTCATTGAAATGTCCCCTTAATGGAAGAGGGCCCTGAAGACGTGGTCAGTGGGAGAAGGACCACCTTACATTGCTAGGTCAACTTATACTGATGGTCAGTAGGAGAAAGGTCCCAGTGCACTGGTGGTCATTTCAAAGATGACCACCTTACAGATAGCTAAAAAGAGCATTAGTGTTAGTGGTAACTTGTCAGAAATTGCTCATTGCTCATGGAACCCCCAGTAAACTCTTGAGGGACCCTAGCATTCCATGGAACCCTGATCGAGAAAGGCAGCTCTGAAGTTCTTTATGCAAAAAAAGGAAATAAATTCAAATTGACCACAGTCCTGGGCAAATTTTATTGATTTATACAGTCTTAAAGTATTTTTCACATTTAGTACTGAATGTATCTATTCCCATTTAGAACCTCTTGAAAATAAAAAAATATAGAAATTCCACTTCTTGCTGGATACACTTTTCTTGACTATATCCTCATATATCCAAACTGCTTTTTTATTTACATTTCTGTGCAGGTAGGTGAGAGGGTGGCATCTCTTTCTTCTTTATTCCAGAGTTTAGTTGCAAAAGATATGTCGTTACACATTGTTATCTCTCACAAGCCTATCTGAGTCATGGCAATGAATGGAGTTGGGGGTTGCATGCAGTGGAAAAAAATGAACAACTGGTTTGGTATTCCTTAGTTCAGATTTGGTTGGCTTAATCATCCACTGTTACAAAGTGGTCGTTTTAGTACTTTTTTGTTGCTGTAAATAAATAATGTATATGTAGTCTGGAATTTGTCTCTAAGTGCTATAAGATATAGAAATAGTCCCACTTTTTTGAGTAACCTGTCCTGGCATTGGTGGCCCTTTAGACACCTTTGTCTTTTTTCTTTTAAATAACAGTCTAGCCACTGTTTGTGTTCCACAAAAGGGTTGACATTTGGAGTAAAACCATTCACAGAGGAGGTCCTGGGAACACAGGTGACTAGTTTTGTCAATTTAAAAAGTTGACAGCAAAGTCAAAAGAACACAACATCCTTCTGGCCATTTCATGTGGATGTCAAGGTGCTTTGAAGCAGCCTTCATATTTCATCACCTGAAAACACCTTTACCTTCTTCAAAGGAGTTCAGAGTTGATCACAACTGGTTTCCATCTCTTGTTTTCTTGTCAGAAGTTCATGGAGTGCCTAATGGTCTAGAAGAGTCTGAATGATTTCCAGAAGTTTGGCGAACGCCCCTCTTTCCGTGGTCTTCATTGATGTGGGACACTTCGGTTGAGGCAGCATCAAACCCAGGCTCGGCGTGGGCCACGTTGACCACATGCACCTTGTTCCGTCCTTTCTTCCTTAAGAGACAGCTGAAGACTTTCTGGAATCCTTTCCGGAAGTGTTTGGACACTAGAGCATAGACAATTGGATTGAGGCAAGAGTTGGCATAAGCCATGCAATGAGAGAGAAGGCGGAAGGCATAGGTAACTTGGTTGAATGGAAAGTCACCATAAAGATAGCACATGACCACCACATGGTGAGGAAGCCAACAGAGGCAGAAGAGGACAGTCACAATAATTATCATTTTGGTAACTTTTCTCTTGGCTTTTTTGGACTCTGACATGTCCTCTAAGGGGTCTACAGCAGTCCAAAGATATTTAATGGTTCTGGTGTAAGACAGACTTACAATAAGCACTGGAATAACATATCCCACGATGAAGGTGCCAGTATCCATAATTTTACGAGTCCTCTCTTTCCACCCTGGCATGCAGATGTGGCTGGTATCAAAATCCATCAAGTCGTAGTAACTTAAATAAGGTCCAGCAAAGACCACAGATAAGCCCCATATAATGGCCATGGTGGCTACAGCATTGCAAGGAGTCCTCAGTTCCCGGGAACGTAGGGGATATCGGATGGCCAGGTATCTGTAGAACAAGAAAAATAATTGCTCAGTGTTTTCTACTCATCTAATAACCTTTGTTGGATCGATTGTCTTTAAGATGAGCTTTAGTTATACACAAAATGTGTATAAATAATATCACCAAATTTAAGCAGCGTTAAAGTGTTCCTTTCACATCTATCCTGTAGTGTCAAAAATGTTCCTATTCTAGTGACCACTCAACCCCTGGAGCCACAAAAAACAAGATCACTATGGACTACCAAAAGTGACAACAGGTGACAACGATCTAAGAGGGGATTCCCATCTCTTTGGAGAGATTTCCAATTATTTCCTGGGGTAAGGAACTGCCAAAGTCTGCCTGAAATCTCTCTCTCTCAATATATATAAATATATCAGGGGCGGACTGACCATTTGGGAACGAGGGCCCGGGGTCAGTAGGGGGCCTCCCTGATATATATGTATATATATATATATGTGTGTGTGTGTGTGTGTGTGTATATAGGCTTAGCTATGAAACATTTATGTTTGATTACTTATTTATCCTCACATACTCTGTGGATGATTCAAAGTCCAATGGTCTGACATGCTAATAACACATGCCATCTCCTGAGTGTGCATAACAGTATCACATAACAGCCTTTTAATGAAAGTCCAACTCTAGGCAAAACCTTTGTGTTTAGTTTTGGATACAGCAGGAAAGGGCTAGAGCTCCTTTAGGTTTTTATTGCTATGTGTGTTTCTACTGGGGAGATTTCTCCTCGCTTTCTATCAGGGCAGGAAGTAATGGAAAATCACTCCAATGGGGATACAGAAAAAACACATTTAGTAAACGGTGACCAGATTTCCAAAATTCAGTGACACCCTACTGAGCATGCTCACTTTTATGGGTGTGAGGCAGGAGTGGAGGTAATAGCCGGTAGGCAAAGTGCACTACACCAAATGTTCGGTGTGGCCGACTTGTGCTAACAATGGGAGGGGCTTAAAGGGCATGGTATAATAATACCTGAGTCTACATTGCTCTGGGTGTCAGGAACCAGTGGCAAAGATGACCAGATCTGTGTGGCTACACTCACAAAACAGGGAGGAGACTGTATGAGCATTAAAGTGCCACTAAACCCACAACAGTACAATCAGTCTGTAGATGCAGTAAAGCATGCTTGTTATACTCACTGTGGAACCTAAGGGGTTAATCCTCTGCATTGTGTAAAAAGGCTGTTTGATCCTGTCTTCTCTGATTCTCTCGTTCTTTTGATGTCTCCAATCCATCTGCCATTATTAGAGCAGCAGTGGCAGGTTTGAACATGCTCAGTGTGTATTGCTAGATAGGTTTTTTTTTTGTTTGGGAGAGTGCATGTGATCAGCACAGGGCCCATCACTGTTGTTCAGTCTCATAGGACAGTCAGAGGGATTGAAAATTCTTCCTACGAGATTAACCAGTGCTCAGCTGGACACTGATAGAAATCGCAAGACTGCTGTATACTGCTGATGAGAAAAGGTATTTAGCAGTTTATATTTAGTAAAATAATTGCATTTCCATGTTCTGTGTACTGTGAGAGACCAGATATAGTGAATGCAGGGACCGAGGAGAGCGGATATAGTGAATGCAGGGTCCGGGGAGACCAGATATAGTGAATGCAGGGTCCAGGGAGACCAGATATAATGAATGCAGGGTCCAGGGAGACTGGATATAGTGAATGCAGGGTCCAGGGAGAGTGGCTATAGTGAATGCAGGGTCCAGGGAGACCAGATATAGTGAATACAGGGTCCAGGGAGACCGGATATAGTGAATGCAGGGTCCGGGGAGACCAGATATAGTGAATGCAAGGTCCAGGGAGACCAGATATAGTGAATACAGGGTCCGGGGAGACCAGATATAGTGAATGCAGGTCCTAGGAGACCAGATATAGTGAATGCAGGGTCCGGGGAGAGTGGATATAGTGAATGCAGGGTCCAGGGAGACTGGATATAGTGAATGCAGGGTCCTGGGAGACCAGATATAGTGAATGCAGGAACCGGGGTTTAGTAACACTTTAAGTGAGATTTATTTACTGTGAAAAAAAATTCCTCCAGATACCAACACCCAGCAAACATGAAAATAGTATGAACCAAAACCCCAGAGACAGAATACCTGACTAATAAACCAATAAACAAACAGAAAGCCTAGCTAACAACTAACTATATAGAATATGTAAAAAATGAGGAACACAAAAAGGGGAACAAAACTGGGAAAAGGAACAAGGGAGAGCAGGAACAAGGTAGTAGGGTACTAGGTACAAGGTACAGGGTAGGAGCAAGATCATGATAACTGGCAACAGGATCTGGCAGCAGAAAAATACTGGAGCAAGAGGCACCAAAGGGGGAGGATCCAAATACCATCCCAGCAACCAGCATTAAGTGGAGACTGATTACTGAAGAATGCTGGCTGCTGGGAGACACCCACTGGTAGACACTGGAACTACACCCTCCACCCAGGGAGACAACAGTGCCACCAGCAGGTGTTTCAAGTCCTGAGGGTCGTGAGTACAAACCTAGATGTGCACTGCAGGTCACCATCACAAGCAAAGGCAAAGTGGCAAATTATCTATATTTTTACCTCCCACACTAAGGTCTGCACAAGTTGAGAGGGAAGCTTAATAACCCCGGACACATCCAGGAAGCAGACAGACCCCTCCTCTCCATCCTCCTACTCCAAGCCAACCACAGAAATTTTTCTAATATAGCACCCTCCTAGGTAACTAGGGGGAGCTCTAGCTCTAATTGTTAGTGAGGAGGGCTAAGTAGCAACCTGGGTGTGATAGCCAGGTGGGTCAAATTGCAAACCCACTCTCTGGGACTTTCCTTTGCTCTAGGACTTTGGAGAAAAAGATCTAGAAGCAGTGGGTGGAGGTGAGAATTGGCTGATCTGTACTCTTAGAGGATCCTGGCCAATTCCCAACAGGAGGCTTGGCAAGGGGCCAGGACAACCTTTAAGAGTAACTAAGCCTGCTCAGCAGCTGGAGAGTTGGAGGGAGAGTTTGGGTGGAAGATGAGAAAGTGAGGTTGGAGAGCAGGAGCCTGGTTGGGGGCCCAGATGGAAAGGGGCTCACCTCCAGGCAAAGGAGAGACTTCACCAGCCCCCTGAGAGAAGGCCACCTGTGTAGCACAGAAGGAGCAGCCTGGTAGCAGTCACCGACCCACCAGCACACAGAAAAAGGACTAAGTGATTAAAACTGCACCCCCTGGGCCAGATAGGGGAAGGAACACTTTGGTGGGAAACCACATTAGCGACTACCTGGGTCTGTCTTACTTTAAAGCGACAGGCGCTGGATCCCCTGCTCAGGGATTCACCCAGATCAGCTGGATTAGGGGAATCTAGGGTCTGGGGTGGTACAACCAAAGAGCCTGGCTAGCTCTCCAAGAAGAGGATTTTTTTTGCTGTAAGAAAACTTGTTTATAGTTCCAGGGAGTTGTCCTCGGTTTCTCAGTTCCATTGGGCATCCCGTACACTCCTAATCCTATCCCTGTTCAACTCCCCTAATAAAACTTCAATCAAAGCTCAAGGACTGGGCACTGTCTCCTCGATGCAAGTCTGACTGAAGGAAATGTGTGTAGCCTGGCTATGCAGGACTATAGGGGGACCCAAACTGCAGCGACTCCTAAGGGGGTAGTGCTACACTAAGATGGATTACCTTGCATGGACACAGTTATTAAACTAGAAAGAAATTGGGGGCACATTGTTTTAACCATAGATGGCATCAGGGACATTTTTGTTTTACCAGGACAGCCCCTAAAATAGGGGACTGTACCCAGAAATCGGAGACATCTGGTCACCCTAAATTAGTAGAGTGGGGAAGGCTAAGAATTCGGACAGTGTTTTTGTTGCTGTTTGTGCCTTCTTGTCTTGGTGGCAGTAATCTTTCTTTTCTTTTGCAGAAGTAAAGAAGAGAGGTAAGGTTACAGATAGAGATAAAAACCTGAAAGAACACGTTTTCGCTTTAACAGCAAAAAAAAAAATATCTGTAGTTAGGCTTTATGAAGAATTTAATCAACTACTTCTGTTCACTGATTCTAGAGCTTTTATTGCTCTTTCCGCTGGTATTGCTTCACTACATGTGCTAAGTGCTGTAATAAATTTACAGATGGTTCATTAGTCCTTGTAGAAAATTGCAGTCTCAGTCCCTTACAGATCATTAAGAGGATTTTCTACTTTACATTTAGCATCATATAAATCTGTTTTTTTTAAAGCTGAACTCCAGTCTTCCCCCTAATCTTGCACAGTTGTAATGGCTCCCAGGGCCGTGGATAGGGGGGTACCACCAGTCCTCCTGTATGGGGCCCAGGCCTGCAAGGAGGCCCAGGCAGCTGGGTGAATCAGATGTGGTCAGGGAGGGTGATCAGCACGAAGTGGGCAATTACTGGAACCGATCCCCTGTATGGCTCTCCACAGCAGCTGAAAGCTGGCTTCTTCTCCTCTCCCTCCCGCTGGCTTTCAGCTGCTGCAGAGAGAGCCATATAGAGGATCGGTTTCAGTAATAGCTCCCCATCACTTTCCCTCAGCATCCCCCTGCTGGCCAGGCCCCCCTGTGTGCACCCACCAGTAAACCATTAGGCTGTCAGTAGAGCGGTCTCTAGTGGCTCTGATTTTCAGCAGTGCCAGATTCTAACTTCAACTTGCTCAATTAAGCTTTGACAATAAAACCTGGAAGCTGTTTGGATTCTATGCAGAGCTGCATCAGATTTTGCACCATGCAGTTTTAGCAAATAACCCCCTAAATGGCAGTGCTGTCTGCTACCTCATTCCTTTGCTATCATCATGAGTTACTTCTGATGAGTTTTCCTGACACCAAGAGAAAAATGGTGACAGGGGAGGAACCTCCAGCAGATTGACAGCCCTCTGTTCTGTTACTGTGTGTTGTGTGAAGGGGGGTGTGCCCTTCCCTCCAATCAACTCTCAGAGCTCTCCTCACTGTTGTAAATACAGCTCTCCACCCTTGCTTTTTCGAGCTGAGAGATCCTGTGTAAATTCTGCACTTTGAATAGATGTAGGGGAAAAACAGCTGTAGATAAACATGTACAACGTATGTAGGAAGATTTGTTTTATCTCTGTGTATCACCTGAGGCCAGTCACTTTACTGGGTATATGTAAGGGTTTACAACCACTTTAAAGGGGTACTTTACCCATAACAACCTAATAAAAAATAATGTTCTTTAGCACGGAACTTACATTTCACATTAATACTTGTGCTACCAAAATGAGTGTGTTGTAAATTGCCTCCAGCGTTGCTCATGTTTCTTCTTGCTGGAAGAGGCCATTTTGCTGAAGCCAAGAGCTCTTGAGCAGCAGTAAATCTTTAGGCTGTCAGTAGATCGGCTTCTAGTGGCTGTGATTTTCGCCAGTTCCAGAGAACAACTGAGCATGTTTAGAGAATTGTATTGATAGATTTTGAACAGTATAGGCACTTATTTTTAATGTTTCACATATATCTGAAAAAGGGGCCAACATGAAATAGTCTAACAGGACTTAATTTTCTGACTAAAGTTCCACTTTAAGTGATTGAGTTTAGATCTTGTTTAAATGTGGGGGAAGGAGGGGATTCAAACTTACCGATCCACAGACACTGCTGCCAAGGTGAAGCTGCTGGCGTACATGGTCAGGTAGATGAAGAAGTGAACGGCTTTGCACATAAATGCTCCAAAGACCCAGTCCTCCAGAGAGTAGATGGTGGCCTGGAATGGGACGCAGAAGATGATGAAGAAGGACACATCAGCCACGCTGAGGTTCAGGATGAAGAGGTTGGTGGTATTGTGAGTGCGTTGGCCACTTCTCAGAAGCACGGCCAGGACAAGGCTGTTCCCCACTGTTCCCAGCAAGAAGATGAGAGAGAAGATAACTGGCACCACCACACTGGCTGGATTAAAGAGACTCAGATCTGATGAGTTCCAGGAGCCCGCCAGGGCCGCAAAGTCATCCGGGTCCGACATGGACACAGCTGGAGGAGCTGGAATAGGAAAAGTCAAAGTAAGTTTTAGGACAACTTCCCCTTTTCTTTGTTTCCTACGTAATTCTTCATATTCTGATCTGTGTACTTCCACTCATTAGAGTTAGCATTAGAATTGGTGTTGCGGCTACTGGATAAGGTTATGATAAGGGTTAGTGTTAGGGCTATTGTTAGGGATAGGTGTAACGGGCCGCCTGACAGCACCTCTATCGGTCCCCCGGTAGAGCCTCCCCAGAGTGCGGAGTCTAAGCACCGGAGCACTTGTTCACCAGGGCCCCTGATGGTGGGGATGGACATGGAGCGCTCCGGTACCAGGTCGCAACTACCAGGTATCTCCAACAGGGGTAGAGGAGTCTGACAGGGGCTCCAGAGAGCTAGGAGTCTGATGTAAGGGAGCCTAGTGATCCCTGAGGGGTGGGTGGTGGATGAGTTAAATCAGAGTCATGCAGGCCGGGTCGGTAACTAGCGGATCGGTAAGGTACAAAACGGTAGGCAAAGGATAGTCGGGTCACACGCAGGGTCAATACCAGGAGGTCAGATCTAAACGGGAACATCCAGGAGCAGAGTCAGGCAAGCCAAGGGGTCAGGACGGGAGAAGGCAACAAGGTCAAAACAATCCAGATCAGAAGTACTCACACATAGGTAACAGGATACAAAGACCATTCGGCAACAAGTGTCTGTGCAGGGCTAGTTTAAATAGCCCACCCTGTACCTGACAGGCATAGCCTGGGTCCCAGTGCCTGCCTAGTACTGTCCAGACGACGGGTGCGCCTGGGTCCTAGTGCCCTGCCACCTATACGTCTCGGCAGACACCTACGCATGTGTAGACCCATGCGTCGCAATAGTTTCTGACAATAGGGTTAGGGTTAGTGTTTGGACTATTGTTAGGGATAGGGTTAGGGTTAGTGTTAGGATTATTGTTAGGGATAGGGTTAGGATAGGGTTAGTGTTAGGACTATTGTTAGGGATAGGGTTCCCTACTCCTCAGAAGCCATTTAGTCCCCCGCACCTTTTAAAACCTCAAAAATGTACATGATTTAGCCTTCCCTTTGGACTCCAGTGCATTTTTACACAATGTTCCAATTTTTTTGCCAACATTTTTGGGCGAAGTGAAAACAGTTTTACATATCCCCAGTTATACGTGCACTAATAAAGCTACAATCGCCTTACATCTAGAATGTTGCTTATAAGATTTTTTTTCTTTTTTTTCTTCCTCGTGAAGTTGTGATATCTGCTTCATCCCTCCGGAGTGTGAGCTCTATATTATAAACAGTAGGGAGTTCCAGAGTTCTTTGTTTTGCATCGAAGCATATGAGTTATGAAAACTTCCAGGGTCACAGCTCCCTGCCTCTCCCTCCACAGGGAGAACAATGTGGACTATGGGGAGAGAGCAGGGAGCTCACCGCAGCATTCTGATGGATGTGCTGAAGTGTGTGACTGGAGCAGTGGGGAGCTGGACTATGGAACCAATAAACAACTTCATTTCTATTCAAGTACATTCATTCCTTCTCTGTGTAGTGTTCACAGCTTACAGGGAGTGCAGAGTGCTTATGGAAATAATGGATTTATTGTGTTCAGGACTTAAAATCACAATACAGAATATATAACACATATGAGGAATTGATTATATTGTATATTCTTAATCTTTCTTTCTTTCTTTTTCTTTCTTTCTTTCTTTTCTCTTTCTTTCTTTCTTTCTTTCTTTTTCTTTCTTTCTTTCTTTCTTTCTCTCCCACTGTCTCAGATTCTTTCTTTCTTTCTTTCTCTCTCTCTCTCCCCCCCCCCTCTCCCCCCCTCTCTCAGATTCTTTCATTCTCTCTCTACTGTTCTCTCTCTCTTTCTCAGATTATGGTGGCATCTTAATCTTTCTTTCTCTCCCACTGTCTCAGATTCTTTCAATTTCTTTCTTTCTTTCTTTCTTTCTTTCTTTCTTTCTTTTCTTTCTTTCTTTCTTTCTTTCTTTTTTCTTTCTTTCTTCTTTCTTTCTTTCTTTCTTTCTTTCTTTCTCTCCCACTGTCTCAAATTCTTTCTTTCTTTCTTTCTTTCTTTCTTTCTTTCTTTTTCTTTCTTTCTTTCTTTTTCTTTCTTTCTTTCTTTCTTTCTTTCTCTCCCACTGTCTCAGATTCTTTCTTTCTTTCTTTCTTTCGTCTTTCTTTCTTTTTCTTTCTTTCTTTCTTTCTTTCTTTCTCTTTCTTTCTTTCTTTCTTTCTTTCTTTCTTTCTTTTCTCCCCCTCTCTCTCTTCCTGCCCCCTCCCTCTCTCCCCCTCCCTCTCCCTCCCTCCCTCCCTCCCTCCCCCCCTCTCTCTCTCTCTCCCCCCTCTCTCCCCCCCTCTCTCTCTCAGATTCTTTCATTCTCTCTCTACTGTTCTCTCTCTCTTTCTCAGATTATGGTGGCATCAACAGCAAGGCTCTTACTTTCCATTCATCATACATCTGCATCTGAGGCTGGTCATCAGCTCTGAGGAAAGGGATTCGTCCCCGAAACGCGTCAGCTATTTGACCGCACTGACAGTGAGAACACCTTGCCTGCCGTTATGGCCATTGTCATTTTTCTATGCTTTTTAGATACATGCTTCGTCTGTGAGTATGTTTTTATTATTCTTTCATTCCTACAATAAACCTTGGATAATGCACTAGGTGTGCGCACCACCTGTTTTCTCTCTATCCAGTGGCTGATTTCCCCGTCTGAGGAGGGCTGCACCCCTGAAGCATTTCCTTTGGTTGTCGCTGTCCTGGTACCCTTGGCTTCCCTTTTGGCTGTGCATATCCTGAGGCCCTGGAGAGTACATACGATATCCGATCTTCCTGATCTGTGCAGTGATCCAGTGTGAAAATTTACCTCCTGCCTGCAATAAAGACCGGTCACTGCTGCTCTCTCTCCTTGTGCAAGGTGACAGGTCTTGTCTCCACCCCCTTATAGCAGTAGCCCACCCACAAGTGATATTTAATTTTTAAGTAGTGGCTCCAACCTTGAGATCTTCCTGCCACACACCCCGGCTTTATCTCTGTGTACCTGGGAGTTTAGATGTTCCTGTCCACCTTTATGTGTTCCAGGTCCAGCTATTACATTCCCCTTAATGTACAATTAATAGAAATCCAGCAAGGATGGTGGGAACCCCTCATAATGGGCACAGCAGATGTGCAGATCTGGGAGATCTCACCATAACAAGCTGTTTAACTCTCCAGCAGACACTGAAATATCACTTTTGTGCGGAGTGACCATTTCAGACAACATTCCAAAATAAGAGCGGATGTGTGCAGAATTACACGTGTCCTAGAACACATTTTGGTGCTTTCTAGGAAATGTACATTCACTGACAGCGGAGGAGATAAGTGGCTCTTCACAATTCTCTACACAACCTGTTCTCCCCAGATCCTGGATCTTGTTTATCATCACTGACACAGTTTTCTGCAGCACACTACGATGACATGACGACCCTAATCACATATCATAGGAGTGCTGTGTGTCTGAGCACAGACACCAGCCAGTGCATGCTGCCACTCCATGCTGTCCCCTATGAACAGAGAAATTGGACTATATAGTGTAATGATGTAAAATAGACAGATATATGAGATAGATAGATAGATAGATAGATAGATAGATAGATAGATAGATAGATAGATAGATAGATAGATAGATATGGGAGGGATAGATAGATAGATAGATAGATAGATAGATAGATAATAGATAGATAGATAGATAATAGATAGACAGATAGATAGATAGATAGATAGATAGATAGATAGATATGAATAGATAGATAGATAGATAGATAGATAGATAGATAGATAGATAGATAGATAGATAGTAGATAGATAATAGATAGACAGATAGATAGATGATAGATAGATAGATAGATAGATAGATAGATAGATAGATAGATAGATAGATATGAATATAGATAGATAGATAGATAGATAGATAGATAAATAGATAGATAGATGATTGATAGATAGATAGATATAGATAGATAGATACAGTTGTGGCCAAAATTATTCAACCCCCAATGCTGTAAAGGGGTTTAGGGACTATAGTGTACATTTGGAATTGTATTCAGAATCAAATCCTACAAGGACGTTGTAACTACCCAATGCAACTAAAATGACATCAATTGTTATGTAATACAGTAGTAAATGGTTCTTATGTGGTTTCTTCATTGCCACAATTATTCAAACCCTTAAAGACTACCACTCTGAAGAACAGAGGTTCATACAGGTGCTTTCCATCAGGTATTGAAAACACCTGTGGATGTCACCGAGCAGGCAATCAAGCATAATAAGCACCAATTAGGCAGCTTTTAAAATGACTGTGATACTCAGCTCCTTCTAGACATTTACTGGTGTGGTTACAAACATGGTGAAGGCAAAGAGAATGGTCCAGGAAGACAAGAGAAGAGGTGATTTCTCTTCACAGGAAGGGCAATGGCTATAAGAAGATTGCAAAGATGTTAAACATACCAAGAGACACCTTAGGAAAGCATCATTCGCAAATTCAAGGCAAAGGGCACTGTTGAAACGCTACCTGGTCGTGGCAGAAAGAAGATGCTGACTTCGACTGCTGTGCGCTACCCTGAAGCGTAGAGTGGAAAGAAGTCCCCGTGTGACTGCTGAGGAACTGAGAAAAGATTTGTCAGATGTGGGTACAGAAGTTTCAGCCCCCCAAGACAATAAGACGCACACTGCGTAATGAAAGGCCTCCGTGCCAAGACTCCCAGGCGTACCCCCTTGCTGTCTCAAAGAATAAGAAGAGTCGACTGCAGTATGCCAAAAGCCATGTGGACAAACCACAAAAGTTGTGGGATAGTGTTCTGTGGACTGATGAAACACAAAATTAGAACTGTTTGGGCCCATGGATCAACGCTATGTTTGGAGGAGGAAGAACAAGGCCTATGATGAAAAGAACACCTTGCCTTACTGTGAAGCATGGTGGAAGGGTCAATCATGCTTTGGGGGCTGTTTTGCTTCTGCAGGTACAGGGAAGCTTCAGCGTGTGCAAGGTAC